TATATAATTAAACAGTCACTATATCAAACCCCAAACCAACTGAGGACAGTTTGTTGTAGCAATTAACATGTTGGACAAGGACTAGGGAGACCATGTTTCAAATCCATCTAAAGAATAAGTGGTTTTTGGCTAGTCACTCTGAGCCCGAACTGTCTTACAAGGCTGTTGGATAAAATGGAGATCCCCATGTTAGTTATTTTTATCACCCAGATATCTGTGAGATATAAACTAGATGAGTGGCTTTCAACCTTTTTCATCTCACAGCACACACAGGCAGGACTTCCAGGTCGCAAAGTCCCGTAACATCACAAGTTGCTGGGACTCAGGTGGAGAAACTGAGAAATGGATGCAGTTCACCCCTGGTGATGTCACAAAGGCGGGGTTCTGGCTGCATGGCACTTTCATTTATTTTACCTCACTAATGCAGCACACCTGTGGACCTTTTGCAGCACACCAATGTGCCATGGCACAGCAGTTGAAAACCACTGAACTAGACAAATAAATACACTTGTTTTATTTTTATGCATTAATTGCAACTAATATGTCTTTATTAGTTTAAGATCCAAATATGGATATTGCATCTTCCATCTGCAAATTCCAGATGGAAGTATTGCTCAATATACAAATGATTTTAAAATTACAACTTGTATCATACTTGCAGGAAATTGGAAAGTTTTAACTGGCAGTCTCCTCTTTTAAGGCTCCTCCACAATCACATTATGCCGCATCCTGGGTGTATTTGGATTATTTTCAATTAGCCAATCAGCCAGCCATATCTATCAAAAAGAGCAACAACAAAATCCAATTTAATTTCTGTATAAAGATACTGTTTGCTAATAGGAGGCATTCTAACTTTGTATTTCTATTGACCAAATTTCCTTTAATGTTTCTCTTTCAAAAAGCAGTGAGAAAAGTAGAAACTGCTTAAAATTCCTAAACCTTTCTTTTCATTATTCTTACCTTTGCTTTTGAAAATGTACCTGTTTGTCTGAGTAGGTGACGGAGAAGGAGGCAGTCAGTCTAGACTGCTCCTGAAATACAAAGGATCACCAATTATGGGTATTCTAGCTTGAAGGGACCAAACTATATGTGCATATAAACAAGTATTGCTCTTATCAACCATCGATTTTTCCTTTGGATTTCTATCTGTCATACCACAAGGGATATTTCTTCATTAGCAAAGGAAGGCTACCAGCTGTTATCTCATACTAGTACTATTATTCTGCCTCTTGATACCGGTCTTTCCTGTGATACATACAAAAGGATCTTCTGGTTTCCTCTTACACAGTGCTGTAAGTCCTTTCAATAGAGTAGGCGTGACATACATGTTAAGGTAGTCCTTAGCAGCTTGACCAGCTGGGATTGGTTCAATTAATACTGAAAAAAAAGTTTAAGATACTGATTTAAAATCAATAATTTGCCTTCTAATGCTGAACACATATTCCATGCTTGTCTTCTCCTAGATAACAGCATTTCAAGTTGAAATCACTATTATTTTTAAAATCCAGGCTAGAATGTCATAGAGAAAACTACTGTACTGTGCAGCTTCCAGTATGATGACCCAGTAAGCTTTATGGTGTTTATTCTCTCACACACAGTATGGACTTGCTTGTACTTATAATAATTCACCTTGGGACAGTAAAAAGTAACACTTTTTTTTTTTTTACAATATTTGTATGCCATTGATTTCACATGGACTCTTCAGATAAGATTATTTGAAATCATACATAATTTGCCAGATAATGAACAAATAAAGCCCTTTCCAAAGCATCAATTCATAACACGTAAATGGCAATTGATACTTCTAGCTATATAAGTTTGAATTATCTTCTCACAATGGGTTCATCACCTTGCCTGCCAAACAAATCTTTTTCTGCCAGCAAGAAAGGGAGTGCTTTGATGCTTATACAGTATCTACACAACACCCCATTTTTGCAAGAATATAATCTGTGAACTGGAAGAGATCAGGGAAAAACAATTTGACTCTGCAAACCCAAAGTATGTTTTTCAGTAGGGTCAGTATTGAAGCTAGGGATCCAAAAATATATAATGCTTCTTTAAATCAGCTTATATTCTAGAAGTGATTAGGTGGCAGAGAAGAGATTTTAAAGCATGAACTCACTCGAGGTGATACAATGAACATTACAGAAGTTCAACTTGAGCATCAGTTTGGCCTCCTACCAAAGATACTGTCATCTCAAGAACCACCATCTGAATTTTTCAGAAAGCTTCCTGTTAAATCTCTTTCTCTTGCATGACAAATCTAGTGATTCACCTTTATTGAATTCTGCTTCTAAACAAAAACTCTAGAATAGCTGCCCTTCTTAAAAAAGGTTTTCTTGCAACCCTCTTTTCTGCTTGCCTATTTACACAACAGCAATCTGCACCACTAGATAGCAGCATAGAGTTAATTTGCCAGCCAATGGCCATCCAAATTTTTGCAGCTCAGATATGATATGCCTAGGTTTGCAGACTGCAGTCCAGTATGTAATTAATTAGATTATTATACTATTGTCTCTCAGTCCCAAATGGATACAAATAGGAATCGGATAAACAACACAAATAGGGTTTATCTGGAAAAGTCTTAAGGTCAAAAGGAGCCACAGGGAGCTTATTACTGATACACAGTAAAGCTCATCTAAGGTTATCACATGGTAACCCATAACAAAAGGAAGGATTACCATAAAAGCAAAATAACAAATTATCTCAAGAGTAGTATTGGCCACATTAAAGTCTTTACTATTATTTGGAACATGTTTGAACATGTTCTGAATTATAAATATTTTCAAATACATACAAACTCCATAAACTTCATAAAAGCTAGGAATAACTATGGAATAAAGGCTTGGTTATAAACTAGGATTACCTACAGAAAATATGCAGATACCTAATTCAAAAGCTAACAGGAGCATCATACATACCAACTTCAATTGTACTAATGCACTTTATTTTCAGTTGCAAATGAATACTATCTCGTTATTATCTCAGCATGAGAATTTACAAGAAAGATTAAAACTGAAGCTTATACTGACTTTGGGCTGAGAGTGAATGGGCTGATCCAATTCATCTCACGAGGTGGCTATTAGGAGGATAAAACTAAGGAAACCAGTATCTATGTTGCCTTGAGCAGTTAGAGAAAGGTGGGATAAATACACAATAAATCAGTAAATTGACTTCCAGTACCAGGTATATACATATAGGGTTACATTATTAGAGAACAATCTCCTGTATGGTTCTTTAGCTCCATAGTAGGCAATGGAAATTGTGACCCTCCAGATGTTGCTACACAAGTAATCCCAGCAGCTACAGTTAATATAGTTAATAGTGAATCATATTAGGGATTTTAATTCAAAAACATCTGGAAGACCACAGGTTCCTCATCTCACTCTAGTAAGTTCAGTGGAGTTTACACCTAGATAAGTGGTAGAGGACTGCAGTCTTAATGCTTTTTGTTAGCTGCTTGATGCATTAGGACTAATTTAAACTAAGTCTGAATGCTTAAATGAAAAATAACCACATTTTCATTTTCAGACAGAAGATAGTTAACCTTCTGGTATCTAAAATGAGAACAAGATCGGCTTTCTAGAATTAAATGTCTCCTTAGCTATATCTGAATGTAAGATAAACATCCTATTTCCAAAACTACTGAAAGTGCAGTCTGACACTTATCTGTTTAAAAGGAAATTGCCCATGTTTATTCCAGATAGGTGCATACAAGACTATAGCCCACAAATTATGGATATAAAAAATAACTGACAAATAAACAAGAAATAATACTGGAATTTTAAACAGATTTTGGTCCATTTAGCTTCATATAGGATTAAAACATAAGACTTAAGTCTAGATATAAAATTGAGAACTCCACTCTTTCCGAGTGGGGCTGGTAAGAAGCACACAGAGATTTTCTTGGAATGATAACAATTCTAGATGGTAATTATATACCTTCAGGAAACATGAACCGGATTTCTCTTTCAGCTGAGGAAAAGCTGGCACTACCATGAAGTCCATTTCTCAAATCATCTGTTCCATAGATTGCTCTTAAACTAAAAGTAACATAGACACATTAACACAAATGCAGTGCTAAACTATTCCATTTCTATTTAATACTAACTCTCACAGAGTCTAATACGACTTTCTTTCAGTTAAGGGAATATCCACCAACACCCTTAGCAATGATTATGATAAGCTGATGATTAATCTTTTTAACCTGTATAAAGTAATTTGTTATTTAATTGAAACGGAGGCAACATAAGGACTTCTGCCATGATTCTTCTACTTTTCCTCTAAGTACCTCCCCCCCTCTATTAAAAAAAACAACAACTAATCTATAAAGTAGTCCTAATCCATATAGTAGGCATATAGGACAGCACTGGCTATGGGGCGGGGTGGGGGTGGGGACTCTGGTAGGCCAGACACAGTAGAGAAGCTTTACAGTATA